AAAAAGGGTCACAGTAGGTCCGAGACCACTCTCTCATTCAGACTGCCTTTGAGGTTGCCCTGTGCACTTGATTCATCTGGCACCCCACTCTCTAAACAGAGCCATGGGCTCATGGAGAAATGCTGTAGGCCCTAACAAACAGACTTCCCCAAAAACCTCTCTTGGCAGTCAGAGCCATGACTGATACCAAGGACATGTTGAGGAGCCTACCCTCTCGTTTAATAACTCCGGGGCCAATTTGAAGCAGACTGGCAGAACAGCTGAAGAGGAAGGCCCAAAGCTGACCCCATGCCCAGTGATTTAACAGCAAAGGCTGCCCTTGACCCGCGAGCGCCCTGGGACAAAGGCTGCTGCCAGCTCTGTCGGGCTTTGGGCTGCTTCTGCGGCCACAGCGCTGAGCTGCGCAGGTCTGCCCAGCCAGAAGAGCCTTTCCACTCCATGAATTTCATTGAAATACCTGTACTAATGCAATCAAAAGTCCAATAAAGCAAATACTCAGAAAATTCTGGAACAATTTTTTTTTTTTCCCCATAAAATATTTAGAGCAGCCAGTATTTCAACAACTAACAGGTTCCATTTGGTTGGGTTTAGAAGCCTCATACCTTTTTGCCTCTAAAGAAGTCTACGAGACTACAGACTCCTGTTTTGTTATTATAATAATGCTGTTTGTTGAACCATGTTATTGAGGTAATAATATGCCAAAATATTACACACACATGCATACATATATATCTATACATAGAGATATGCATATATACATATAGAACTACAAGCTGCTTGAATAAATTCCTTTCAATGCTCTGGTTAACGTGGAAAGATCCATAAAAAATAAAGTTCTATAAAAGCCTCTGAAATGAACATCAGATACAGAATGCTGAGCAGAGGAGAGAGATTTTACGATCCTCTGCACTTAAATGAATGATTTCAGGATCTAAAACTGAAGGAAAAATACTGCCGAGATTAAACAGCGCAGCTACTCCAAGACCATTTCAGGAAGCTACTCCTGCTTTGCTTTTTGAATTTGAAAAGCCTAGTAATTAATTTGTGTTCTCTTTTTTTCCTTATACTGTAAAACTCAGGAGTTTTTATGAACACTCAGTAAGATGTGGCATAACTGGGCCTCCAGGAACCTGGGTTGCAGTCCCAGTTTTGATGCCACCTTGTCTAGTGAACGCACCAACGCAACTCAACCACCCCTTGTACCAGGTTAGAAATGAGAGGAGGACCTGTTAGCCTCGGCAGCCACAGAATGATTAATTCATCTTAATTAATTTAGCAAATGGGCCTCTACGCTTCTGGCTGTGCATTTGAAGCTTTGCCCTCACAGGTTAGGCAGACTGGGCCCCAGTGTTTCAAGCTCCCAAGGGACGTAGCACTGCAAAAGTATCTGTAACCCCCCACTCCTCTGAGAAGCCAGTTTGGTGCCATTTTAAAAGAAACTCAGCTAGACAAACATTGGCATTTCTCTTTGAGAGAGCTCCCTGCTGACAGAGGGCGGGGAGGGAAGAAGCTGCCCACTACCTTCATGGGAGGGAAAGGAGATAGCTACAGCATTGCCCCTTGAAACACAAATCCTAACCACAGCATCAAAAGACAAGGAACTTATTTTGGAGCTGTAAGAAAAAGGGAACAGTATTTTTTTATTTGTGTCTTAGAAATGGGAACCATGAGACACACCAAGCATATTGCAGGTTGCAGAATTACAAAGCGGGAGCTTCCTGCTTGGGCAACAGTAATTAAAATGTTTCGAAAACCAGAGGAAAAACATAATATATGAGTGGAAGAAGAGGAAGGACAAAAATCTTAGAAAACTGGCCAATCTCTGGAGCATACACAGATGTGCTGGGGCTGACTGTACCGCTGTTTTTTTTTTAGTTTGTTTTGTTTTTTATAGATATAGGACATGAGCATCACCTACCCTGGCTGGTAGATTAGCCAGCACCAACATTGCCAAGAAGCAAATTATACATCATCTTACTCTTAACAAAGAAACAAACATTAACTTTCTGTTAAGGCTTTAAGATATATTTCCAAAAGAGGATTACCGTATTAAGTACGAAATCCCTCTAATCCCATTTGCCTTCCGAAGACGTCATAGGTTTGTTTTTGTTTATAATTTTTAAACTGTACCTAATGACATCCTGGATTCATAAAAGGAGTCTGAAAACAGGAAATCCAAGCAAATTACTGTAGGGTGCCATGAGGCTTTCCTCCTGTCAGCAGAGGATTGAGTAGACCAGTGCTCTTTCTGAGAAATGTTCTGCAGAATGATTCACTGTATCTTGATCCTAGTTCTCCAGACCCCATCCACCCAGCAGCACTACTAGGTTATAACATTTCCTTTGCAATAGTTACTCAAGGCTCAAATAGCAATCAGGTCCTCGCACAGACACCCCAGTCGATGGTGTTTACAATCTAAAAGTCTGAAGGTTTTCTCAGATGTCACTGTCTCTGCTTGCACTCTACTCAGCTTGTTACAAACTGTGTTTCAAGAACTGGAGCTTATACATTTGAAGTAACGTGCACCAAGCCCTGCGCATCTAGAACCTTTATGAAGTGGCCTGTTTGACCTTAGACCACGTTACGTCAGTGTCTGCATTATTATTCCCTAGAGCTTCCTTGAACATAAGAGAATACATTTCTCCAGTAAAGCAA